TAATGCACAACTTAGATCATCGTGGAGTCAAGGATTCCGAGTTCACTACGAATGCGGAAGAACGACTCTTTCTCTAAAGGTTTTGTGAAAATGTCGGCTAATTGGTTGTGTGTTTCAACGAACTCAATTTCGACATCACCTTTGAGAACATGATCTCTAATGAAATGATGCCTAATGTCAATATGTTTCGTCCTTGAGTTAAGAACCGGATTCTTCGTCAAGCTTATGGCGCTAGTATTATCACATCGAAGAGGGACGTGATCGATACTAAGGCCATAATCGACAAGTTGTTGCTTCATCCAAAGGATTTGAGCACAACAACTACCGGCGGCAACATATTCCGCTTCAGTTGTGGATAACGCAACACTGACTTGCTTCTTGCTAAACCATGAGACTAAAGAACTACCAAGCAAGTGACACGTCCCACTCGTACTTTTACGGTCTAACCTACAACCGGCAAAGTCTGAGTCGGAATAGCCAAAAAGATGACAAGGAGACCCTTTGGGGTACCATAGTCCAACGTTCATTGTACTAACAAGATATTTCATTATCCGTTTCACCGCCGTTAAGTGCGATTCTTTCGGACAAGATTGATACCTTGCACATAAACAAACGCTAAACATGATATCGGGTCTACTAGCAGTAAGATAAAGAAGGGATCCGATCATACCTCGATACTTCTTTACGTCTACTTCCTTACCCTTTTTATCTTTGTCCAGGTGATCGGAGGTGCTCATTGGGGGTAGCCATTGCTTTGGAGCTATCCATTTCAAATCTCTTTAGAAGCTCCTTGCAATACTTTGATTGACAAATGAAGGTCCCTTCCCTCATTTGTTTGACTTGTAACCCAAAGAAGAAATTGAGTTCCCCCATCATGGACATCTCAAATTCATTTGTCATTAAGTTTGAAAATTCCTTGCACAAAGATTCATTAGTAGCACCGAATATAATGTCATCTACGTAAACTTGCACCAAGAGGATGTTATCGTTTTTACTTTTGATAAAAAGTGTAGTATCAACCTTCCCCCTTTTGAACCCGTTGTCCAAAAGAAATTTGCTCAAACGCTCATACCAAGCACGAGGTGCTTGTTTAAGACCGTAGAGTGCTTTCTTTAGTTTATAGACATACTCCGGGTGCTCAAAATCCTCAAAGCCCGGGGGTTGATCAAGATACACTTCCTCTTGAATAAAACCATTGAGGAAGGCACTCTTAACATCCATTTGGTATAGCTTAAAATCCATAGATGAAGCAAAAGCGAGTAATAAGCGAATAGCTTCTAAACGTGCTACTGGTGCATAAGTTTCTTCAAAATCAATGCCTTCTTCTTGATTGTAGCCTTTAGCTACGAGCCTAGCTTTGTTTCTAGTGATTAT